TATCAAAAATTAAGAGTTTTGATAACATTGTATGTAAAATGGGTGATTGAGATTAAAATTGCCAAGGCTTATACTTCGAAGTCTCAGTACAGCTAATTTAAATAACAAATAGTGAACACTCTCACTTTACCTTAGTATTCAATAAATTGCTGACAAGATACTCTTGTATCACTGGCATTAACTTAGAACTAAAAATACTAAAAACATAAAAATATAAAGTAAATAAAAATACTACCGTAGATCGGGAAATTTTCATGTTAGAAATAATTGGCGTGAAATTTTTAACGACCTGGGGGCGTAGCCCCCAGGTCGTTCCTATAATTGAATTCACCGTCACGCTATCTATATATTTATTTATTTATTTGTATGTCCACACTTACATTTCTTCTATACACGTTGTATTGGAGAAATAACAAGCCTTAGCAACCACCCGCCCACGCTCCTTTACGTGAGTAGGTGTGGCCACTGCAAACAAAATGGCGGCTTACACATGGGACAAAGTTAAGAGCTTTCTAACAGCAAGAGAGCATAGAGATACTGTCTAAAGACTTCTCTAGAAGCATTATAAGGTAGAGAGAGCCTCTATAAGTCTTAATAATGACCAAGTTGTACTTGCAAGGTGGTGAAATCAATTATAGGAATATTTTTTACCCTGTTACGCTTGTTTCAAGGTATTTTATTTTCGCTGGTTGACCCATCCGCGAAATTTTTTCAACATGAAAATTTTTGGACGCGTCATAAACCGCACAAGTGGCTACTAACTCTTGATGACGATGGACAGCTATTCAATGGAAGTTGCTCGTGACAGTACTAAAACTGACAAGGAGCCTCTTGGGTGAGAGCTTCAGGCCTTCTTTGGGCTTTTAGAAGACTAGAAGAGCCTCGTGGGGTGCACCGCTGCACGTTAGAATAATTCCGGTAATCTTATTATTCACTGTAGAAAATATTTCGTGTGTCAAATTTTCGCGGGCCACTTCATCCGCGAAAATATTTTAACAACGAAAATTTCCCGATCTACGGTATTTACTTTGATAATTCATCTGCATGACTCTTGTTAGTTTCAAATAATTTCCTAAATAGTTTCTTAATAATCGCAACACAGTTCTGACTGGAGGGGGATGGCCCCACCCTTAAGAATTATGAGAGGAGTGGTCCAAGAAGAATTGGTGTACACACCCAAGAGTTACCATGCATGATCGTGAATGATGTAGTCTCGCTAGCCAGACCATTCCCCAGCCTACAGTCATTGGGGTGGACGGCGGGAAAGGGTCTGGTACACTGCTTAATCATAGATAGACCCCCTGCAGTAGGCGTGGTCAATGTATGTAGGCGTTTCTTTTCAGCCATGTTGGTGTACATGTTAAAATGCAATGACTGCAACAAATAGAGCTTTTTTACTATGATACCTTTCCTCCCTGGAAAATTATGATGCCAGGTAGCAGTACTAAGAAAAAATCTCCAGTATTAATGGATTGGATCCTTATGAAACCTTGAGAAGTGATTGGCTTAGATGATATTGACTTCAGTGGCCCCAGGCTGCAGTGTCCATACTGCTATGTACCTTATCTAGTAGTAACACAAAGCCCATACACTGGTGATAAGCTTCTTAACTACAAGAGCATTGCAAGAGCCCCTAAACTAGCAAAGAGCTTGCTAAGTCCTTCATCTGTGGGGGACTCAATGCAGCAGCAGAATACAAGTCAACTGACTGAGCCAGATGTTGATGATGAGCAACCATGTGAATCAGTAGAAACTTGAGTTCCTTGCCCACTTGAGGACTGTTGTGAAGATGTAGATTGTGGGAAAACAAGATTTGTCGTTGATGCTGAAATACATGCAGATGGCAATGCCGGGTGATAGTGCATGATGATCATGATGATGAGGAGCAAGAAAAGAAAATGCTATGACTCCTTTCCTTCCCAAGAAAACTCATGTAT